AGCCCATTCATCTAGGGTTCCTATCATAATTCTATAGTATAAATTTGTGTAAGGGCTATTGTGTAGAAAACTTTTGGCTGCGCTCATAAGCAGCCACCTTCAAACCATTTTATGATATCAAAGTTATATTTTAGTTCTTGAAGACAACTCTCAAGCTTATTACTTTCTCTTTACTTTCTTGCATAATAAAGCTCTTTGAGCTATGTCTTTATCACTTTCTGTTATGTCTCAATAAGCTCTTTGAGCATTCAATCTCTTTTGTCTGAGATTGTTATCATGGTATCAGAGCACATGGCGTTTCAATGGGTTTGATATTGTTGCTTTGGGCTTGTGTGGGCTTCTCTCTAATAGATGGCTCGTTTGTCCTTAGAATAATCAACATCTTCAGTCTTGCTCTGATTCTATGCAAACACAAACACGGATTACAAATCTTAACCTAAATTCCGATCCATCGTTTCCAGACTCAATAGCGTCAATGGAATTCAAATTACAAATTGCACAAAATGAAAAGAAGCAACAAGGTCATTCTTCACTTCCTCCACATCAGACTTCAGTTCATCACAATCGTCTCCAACAAAGCCTCTTCTGTATATAAGCTCTTAGAGGCCTATCAATACCCTTGTTGCAAGAAAATCAAGAAGTACAAGGGTCTAGGCTCCCCTAAAATCTTGTGTTTCACTCTATCGCACATTTTGAATATAAAACAAAACACACAAAATGTAATAATACGCAGTTAAAAACATAGAATCAGAGCTATGGGGTATCACACATATAATATATAAAGGTTCTATATATAGAAAAATAGAAGACATTCTATAGTTCAAACTCGACTTTATCTAAGTTTAGAAGCAGAGAAGTTCTCGTATGTGAACATATATTTTCTATCATAACGTAACTCCCTAAACGTGCGTTTGTTTTCAGTTTCCTTTAATTTCAGAAACTTATCTCCATGCAGTAATTTAATTGTTGTGAATCTTGTGATAATCAGTTGAAACAACAAAAATTAATAAGATTCACAGGAAAATAACTAACATGGTGTACAGAAACGGCCAAGTAAGAGTAGAAAAATTAAAATCAATGAGCTTAGTATCATGTTTGAACAACGATGGATACAGAAACGCATACCAAAGTATCCGAGTAACTCTCTATCTGATATGATGTTTAAGATTCTAATGGGATATGAAAGAGTAGCTTCAGATCCACATTTACCTGGAATACACTATCCAACTCGCACATGCAGAAAAGAGCTCCACTGGAATTACTCAATAGAAATATACAAAATGATGCACAACCATAGGGAAGTAGTTAATACATGTTCTCCAATTATTTCCACAACACAAATTGGTAGTTAACCAAATTGTATTGCAAACATTATAAGATCAAGAGGATTGAGAATACAAAGAAAATTAATAATTGGATTTTTAGACCAAATTCCAATGGATTAAATTTTACAAAATCCAGAAATATATCAAGATTCAGTACAATTGCTGTTTCAATGGTTCAACTATAAAATCTCTGCCGGGTTTCTCATGATATTATTGTGGGATATTTATTCAGCAAGAATTTGAAGTTGGCAGAGATAAAATGTAATATTCAATGTGTTTATCGTGGAACAGACAAAGTATCAATAATTAATGACCTTTTGAATGTCTTCCAGTAATTCAAACTTGAGTTGTTTCAAAATTCCTTTAGACTCAGAAATTATGTTAGAAATTTTCATGTCTAAAATTTAATATTAATTATTTTTTCATGCGTATTAAAAACATATTTAATTTTTATCATAATTATCATTTATTGGATTATTCATTTTTTTATAAATTGAAATCAATATTAATTCAATAAAATCATTAATTTTCTAAAATTTACGGTTTATTATTATTAAAAATAAAAAGATTCATAAAAACATAAATAATGTTTTTGTATATTCCTTCTTTTATAAATCTTGAGGTACCCGAAGCTTATGTAGAACTCTTACTAATTACAAATGGATGTGCAGTCCATGGTTGGTCCCTTTTTCTGAGTATTCAAATAGGGTCTAAAGCATGATTTTATATATACATGGCTACAAAGTGAAGTGTAATGGAATACTTTTGAATCCGAATTACTTTGTTTCCCAAAATCCACATACCACAAAACCACTATCTTGTGGTTAAATAACTTTGTTCTAAAACATGTATGTTTAAGGAAGGGATAGCGGTTCATGAAGGGTATTCTTTACTTGGATGGAGTCTGGAAAGATTTGGATATTATTCAGGTGAATTTTGAAGTTGAATTTACACCGTAGCCTTTCACTCTTGCACAAATAATTCAAACATATGGGTCGATCATAGAATGCATATAAGACACTACAACAGTAACAATTAGATATGGTGTTTACAACAAGTTGTTAATATTGTTGGCCAAAAAAAAAAGAAGTTAAGATTCTGTATAAAAATCTGGTTTCAGAAATGTTCATATGATTACATATAAAAGACTGTGGAGCTTAGTGTAAACCTATAATCAGACAGTCTCCAAGTTGGCTTTGATATCATATCCACACAAATTCACGTTACTCACCAGAGTGGTTACCGAAACTCCAATAGCTATGGAGAAACAAGTCTAATTTCGAAGGTAAATATATAAAAAAATTCGAGCCAAAATAATAAGCTAGAACGTTTTGTTCTCCCTTGTAGACATCACCCAACAAAGGCAAATAGTAAATATGAAATCTCTTGTTTGAACAGCCGACCTATATCACACATTGTTTCCACGAGTATGAATATCAGATATTTTATACGTGTACTACAACTAATAATTATTAAATAAAGTATTTCAAACTATTAATCATTAGATATTAAATTATTAGTTCAAATGAAGTTTGTGCATGGCCTAATAGTTAATGCAACAGAAAGATATCAAATGATCGATCTGTTTTTTGAAGTGGACTATTATAAATATATTTTCATTTCAGCTGATTACTATATTATGCACCTAATTCATGCGCCTAAAAAGGCAAGTACTAATATTAAAATCTCTTGTTTGAACAGCCTACCTATATCAAAATTGTTTTCACGAGTTTCAGTAGCATATACTTTATAACATCTACTAATACAACCTACTTTCAAACTATTAATCAATTGATGTTACATTATTAATGTAAACGAAATTTGCTTGGGGCTTAATAGTGTTTTTGTTTTGATTAACTTAGAGATATCCTAAACATATGGAAGGACACCTGCTAATTTCCAAAGAGAAGTATACAGTTCATAGATGGACTATCTTTTGAGGTATTCAAATGACCTTAAGCAATTAATGATCTATATCTGTGTGACCACATGATGAAATGTGGTTGGGTGCCTTTGAATCTAGGTTAATTAGTAATCCAAAGCTCATCTGGCATTAGATCACCATTACTTGGTTTAATAGTTAATACAACGGAAAGATATCAATAGTTGGATCCTTTTCTTGCATAAGAGTTTCATTATTTATATTTCTTCCATTTAGTTTTCTTACTATACTATGCACCTATTACATGCACATAATACGTAAACGAAAGTAAAATAATGAAACTCCACGATCCTCATTTCACGCGTCAAATCCTCGACGTAAGCAAATTAAATAAGTATGTGCATGTACATGCGCGTAATATAGTAATCAGCTGAAATGAAATTAAAATAATGAAACACATTTATCCTCTCGAATACAACTATAAAACCTAAGTCCAATCTCTCTTCAATCTCACAACAATTTTTCTTTCCCTCTCCCTCCTTCCAAATCTATTCTCTCTCTACATTCACAAGAAAAGAAGGAGACAAAGGAAGAAACAAGAACTATCTCTTTATCTCTCGAGCGTTAATTAAGTTGCCAAACACACTCATACATCAATAGAAAAATGGCACAATTTTTTAAGTTACTCGTGACAATTGCACTTACATTTGCAATTACAACCGCCATCATCACCACAACAGCTACCAGAACCAACCCCACGACGGAAACATTTGCTCTCAAAGACCCTTTCAAGGACCTTACACCCCCAGGAGCGTTTAAGATCAGACCAAGTCGGTTCTTGGCTCAAAAAGACGAACAGGGTCAAGGACCTAAAGCCCGTAACCCAAATGCAGCTGACTCTTGCAACAAAGATTCAGAGATCTGCCGTAGCAGCGGAGCAAACTCTACAATGACTTGTTGCAACAACAAGTGTATGGATTTATCAACCGACAACAAAAACTGCGGTGCATGTAATAAAAAATGCAAGTACTCGGAAACATGTTGTGGCGGTCAGTGCGTTGACTTGAGTTTCAGTAAACACCACTGTGGTAAGTGTAACCAGCTTTGCCAAAAAGGCGGGTTCTGCCTCTACGGTCTTTGTGACTACGCGTGATCATTCGAATAATTCATTCATGTCATGCGTGTTTAAAAAAAGGATCATTCTCTACTTTTAATGTCTACGAATAAAATGGAACATCCTCCTTTTCCAGTACTACTGCTGTTTGTAGTAAGTTTATTAAGGGTCTGTATTCTATATACTCCAAATAATAGCTTGTTCAATAATGTTTTTAAGTATAATTAAATACAAAAATTCTATTGTCCCTTAGCCAGTCCCCAGACCGTACAGATATACATCAAAGTTATATATATGATTTGTAAAAACAACAGCTGACAAATATATAAGAGAAATACTAATAATTTGATTTAGTTTTTAAGTCATAAAATTTCTTAGGTGAAGAAATTTACAAGTGAGAGGTACGTAAGCTCAATAGTCAAATGCAAAACCATAAATGTTAACTAATCATAAAGAGATATTTGAATGTCTTGTCTCCAATGTTTTCCAATGGTTCTAACTTGAAATATTTTGAACATTGGTTCCGACCTAGAAATTAATATATATTCCCTTTATATCAGTTTATTTTATTATTGGTTGCTTTTTTTTCTTCTGAAGACTACCTAAAGATATTTCAAACGGATAGATTTCATGTATAAGTAATTTTGGAAAATATTAATTTGAAAATATTTAAGCGTAGAGATATGTTTGAACCGACATCGATTTCAGTTCAAACAAGATACAATGGCAGAAACTGAAAATATGTTATGGGCAAAGCTGAACTATAAGAAGATAAGAAGGTCAATGAAGTAGTTTCACATATAAGTTATGTAGCCCATGAACGGTGATTGCATTACTTGGATGAATTAAGTTTACAAATTCATAAGGAGGGAATACACAAAATAGTGATGGAAGTTCGGAATATACGTCGTAGCGTATCATCACCCGCGTAAGGATTCCGAAGCTTCGGAGCCATAGAATGCATAACGACACTAAACAACTACATGTCCGTAATAAACTGTCCTAACTTGAAACAAATGGCTGCTCTTTTTCAGAAAAAAAAAACACTTAGAGATGGAAATACCGCTAACCTAATAACCTATTTTCATCACACTCAACCTAGACACAAGGCAAATAGTTGCTATTTGGCTTGGGTCGTTCGTTCAAGTAGTTTGAACTTGTTTGATTTAGTACTTATACTTGGTTTGTTTGAATCAAATACTTGTTCTATATAGACCCAAAAGAAATTACTTGTTCTACCAAATTTTGGTAGCAAAAAAAAAAAATCTTGGTCCCATCCAAACCGAACTATCTAAATTCGGGAAGCACTAACTCGAAACACACACATAAATTTATAATATCCAAATGGGGCTAATTTCAAAAAAAAAAATATGATATTCGAAAGAAATAATATGTATCTGAATGTGTATCCGAATATCCATGCCTAACGTAATTTGTAAGTAAATAAAAATAGAAAGAGTTTTTTTTATTTAGTAAAATAGTTATATGGTGTAAAAAATTAAGTGAAAATATATCTAATACGTGTTTATTATTTTGATTCAAGTTATTATTATGTGCAGATAAATTATGTCTTTGAATTATGTGTTTAACTCCATAGTTTTTCATCGATTAAAACTAAAATAAGAAAATTGTAAAAGAGACTAAACCAAATTTTTAACCATATACAAAACACGGTTATTTTTCATTTTTTATTTTTATAATTGGTACAAAATTAATATTGATTAAACATTAAATAAAAATATACGCTATTATTATTATGAAAATATATTTACTGCAATTTTTAAACTAAATGAAAAATGGAATGACAATTAATGTAATAACTTGTTGATAAGAAGGTTAATACTATTTGAACTACCGTTTCAAAAATATAGATGCAAATAGATATCAATCCATCTATCTTCTTTTGGAAGAGGAGTTTTTTTTTTAGTTGATTACTATATTATGCACCTAATACATGCGCATTATATGAAATCAACTGGTTCGGACAGCCTACCTACATCACACATTGTTTTCACGAGTTTCTGTATTATATACTTTATAGCATGTACTACAACTCATAATTTGTGTGTTACAAACTACGAACGTTCTCAAACTATCTGTCAATAAAAAATAAAATAAAAAACTACATTAAGTAACGTTCAGACATTTTGCGCGTGGCTTAATATATGGTTAATGCAGCAGAATATCAATCATCGAACCCTTTTTTAGAAGAGAAGTTTTGTTATATAATTTTCCTTCCAGTTGATTGCTATATTATGGACCTAATACATGCCCATAACATATTTATCAAGTAATATGAAAGTAAAATAATGAAACTCCTCTACCGGAAAAAAAATCGAACCACATTTCATGCGTCAACACCTCAACGTAAGCAAATTAAATAAGTATGTGCATGTAATGTGTATAATATAGTAAGCAACTGAAAATATAAAATAAGAAATTTTTTCTTCCAAAAAAGATCATTCGACTGAAATCTTTATTTCTTTACGTTTTTCACCACGTCCATCACAACTATAAAACAGGTCCACACTCTCTTCAATTTCTCACAACACAAATTCATTTCTTGCCCTTCAAGTCTCCCCTCTCTTTACGTTCACGTTTATAAGAAAAGAAGGATACAAAAGAAGAACTATTTATCTATATCTCGAGCTCAAATTAAGCTACCAACACTCATAATCAACAGAAAAATGGCACAATTCATGAAGCTACTCGTGACAATTGCGTTGACATTCGCAATCACAACTGCCATCATCACCACAACAACTACCACAACCAACACCACAACCAAAACAGTTGCTCTCGAAGACCCTCTCAAGGGCCTTACACCCCCAGGAGCTATTAAGATCAGACGGAGTCGTTTCTTGGCCGAAAAAACTGGTCAGGGTCAAAGAGCTAAAGCCCGTAACCTGCAGGAAGCTGCCTCTTGCAAGCCAGAGATCTGCCGTAGCACTGAAGCAAACTCCACAATGGCTTGTTGCTCCAAAAAGTGTGTGAATTTATCAACAGACAGAAACAACTGTGGTGTGTGTAAGAGAAAATGCAGGTCCTGGGAAAAATGTTGTGGCGGTTGGTGCGAGAGTATGATTTACAATGATCGCCATTGCGGTGCGTGTAACCATCGTTGCAAACCAGGCCATAAATGCGCCTTGGCCCTTTGTAACTACGCGTGATGATTCAGACATTCATTCACGTCAGCGCAACGTTTCATACCAGGGGTATACAAAAACATCATTTTCTACTTTGTTGTCTACGAATAAAATGGAACATCCTAGTTTCCAGTACCACTTCTGTTTTTTCATAAATTTGTTAAGTAAGTGTTTGTTATGTACAATCCAAATAATATCATGAATAATGTTTTTAGAAGTACTAAATCCATCAAAATAAAAGAATAAACTATAAAGTCTTACAGTGGTGCTGCTCTTCTCTATTTGCACAAAAAGAATCTCTTACAGAGAAGTGATAAAAGACTTGGTGGTGGTGAGGCATCATGTCGCCAAACAAAGCGCCATAGTATTAGAATATTCGAGATAGAGTATCCCATATCGAGAATTTTAAAAACCTTAAATAATATATAAAATGTTAAATCCAATCAATTTATCATCAATTAGTTTTAAGTTGAAAGTGCATAATAAACATAAATTCAACATGTTATCAGAGTCAATCCACTTATCACCAGTCATAGTTAACAACATCACCAAAGAAATCCAGTATGCATTCAGAGTGATAAATCTCTAGCTGGATCAGACTTTTTTAAATTGAACTTTATATATTAACCTGAAAAGGGAACGGGGATTCGATTACAACGTGACCCTAGCTGTAGACTTGTACAAAACCGGATCCATTTTCCCGTGATCCGTCAATTCTTCTTTTTGTAATAAATTGCCTTCAACGTGAAAACAAGCCAAAAATACAAGAGTTTCTCTTGAATAGCTTGCGGTACATTTTCTCTCTCAAACGCTACTAGCAATAATTCTCAGCAGAAGAACATAAAACAAAATGTAGTGTCTTTTCTTCAGAAGCTTTAATATTACTCGTGTAGGATTTTGTTGCATTAACATTACTCAATGTTCTATGCCTCATGTTGTGGTAGCGTAGTTGTTACTACAGCCTTCGTCGTTTGTGGAAATGGTTTCTTCGGTGAAGTCGATTGTCGTTCCAGCACAAATTGTTTAAACAAAGAGCTATAGAGACAAAAGCAAAACGTGATTCTTGCATTAGATGAGCATCTTCCAAGTCGATGAGCATGACGTCAATGAATAGCTTCATGCGAGAATAATAAAAACTCCTTTCCATTTATAAGGAAGAACCCAGTGAGACAATGTAGAAATATGCTGAACTAATAAAGGAACAAAAAAACATATATAGTAGAAAAAAATTGTATATTCACTTAAATTGAATTATCAAGATAATACAAATATATACAAAGATAAAATAGATGTTATCTACTACTCTCTCCGTTTCAATTTAGTTGTCATTCTAGGTTTTTACACACAGATTAAAAAAAAAATTATTTTTTCATATTTTCAAAATAAAAACAAAATTACCTATACACCTAATCACTTCTCAACCAATGAAAAAATAGAATGACATTTAAAATCAATAAATTTTGCATTGAAATCATAAAACGACTCTTATTTTAAAACGGAAATTTTACTCTCAAATGACATATAATTTGCAATGGAGGAAATATTTACTAAATGATGTACTTGCATGAGAAGAGAGAGAATGAAACTTATAATTTCGTTCAAGATAATACAAATATATACAAAGATAAAATAGATGTTATCTACTAATTACTAGATGATGTACTTGCATGAAGAGAGAGAATGAAACTTATAATTTCGTAAGGATAATCAATATAGAAAATAGCAGTAGTTAGTTATGGGATGCAGAATAAGTAATATGTAGAATAATTGTCTAGAACACCAAAAGTGCCCACATAAATTTTTTTTGAAATGACCACTTTAATCATATAAATACAAAACAATATTTATCTTAACATACTCCATCTGCATACGGAACGACACTTTGATATGTGTCATGAAATGTATAAAGACATGATGAAAAAGTGTCAACCCTAATAGAGTGGCTTACCTTCTATCACAACTAGATGCATTTCAGGAATGTAAAAAAGTTCTAAAACAATTTTGTTACTAGACATATTCCATATACGGATGGAATGGATCCGGATATCGGAAAAATTTAGAGTATTCGGATCCGAATTCGTCGGATCCTGATTTTTCTATCCGAATTTATGTATTATTCGGATATCCGGAGTTCGGATATTCGTCTAAAAATTGTGATATCAGTGGATATTCAGATCTGGATCCGTAAAAATAATCATAAATATTTTTAAAATACAAAAATTTAAAAATAATACATAAATTTAAATACATACAAAATTTATAAATATATTTATGACATATAATATTATTTTATATTAAAATAATATTATAAGACTAATTCTATATGTAAATATTAATATATCAAATTAATTATTCTTAAAATTAAAAGTTTAATATATTTTAGAAACACGAATCTGGATTCGGATATTCAGATCTGAAAATTATGATATTCGAATTCAGTTTGGACGGATCCAAGGACCCCGGATATCCTATTTTTGGAGATTTCATATTTGCCTTTTCGAGATTGGACATATCTTATATATTAAAACAAAAATCATGACTTGACTTCATGTATGATTTTTTTTTTTTTTAAATGGATTATTACTAGAAAGTTATGTTACATTAACTCTCTAATAATCATTATTATATCTTATAAAATATCATATCTATAATAATAAAGATACGCTTAACAATTTGGTTTTGATAAATTATCCCACACCTTCCAACTTATTCACGCAAAATGTCAATAGATATAAGTTTAGGAATCTTCTATTATTTATAAGGAAAAATGTCAATAATAGTTAAATGCATCCACAATATATTAACAAAAATCACAGATTAGTAATATGGAATATTTATATACCCTAACAAAATTTACACGTTATATATATTAGATAAATTTATTTCGATGTAAATTTTTAAAATTATATTTTTTAAAAAATAAATAAATTGTTGAAAATTTCATTTTTAATAATTTTTTATAATATTAATTTATGAACCTATAAGTTTAGTTTTTAGCAAAAATTTCTTCGTAGTTTATATTATCGTTAAAAATCAAAATATACTAATATTTAATCAAGCTCTATTTATATTACTTTATCTAAAAATGAAATACTAATCTAACAAACAATAAAATATAGAAGAAGAAACTGAAAAACATGTATAATATAGAAAATTTGAAAAAATCTATTTAATTGAAACACTTATTATATAATATTATTATGTTTGAAAAATATTTACTATACATATCGTAAATGTGATTACTATAATGTATACCAATTTATAAGTGAAAGCAAAATGTTTATATAATTAACTATAAACGAAAACAAACATCCGCGCGATTGGGCGGGTCAAAATCTAGTTAACCTATATTAAATCCCTTGTTCGAACTGCTTACCTACATCACACATTGTTATCACGAGTTTGAGTATCAGATATTTTATAACATGTACGGCCATTAATATTTATTAGTTAGTGTGTTTCAAACTATCAATCAATAGATATTAAATTATCAATGTAAAGGAAGTTTGCATGTGCATGGCTGTATAGTTAATGCACCAGAAAGATTGATATCTTTCTGGAAGGAGAATTTTATTGTTTTATTTTCATTTCAGTTGATTACTATTTATTTTTTGGTTTAATATTACTATTATTATGCACTTAATACATGCGTATAATATAAAAAAGGCAAATATGGAATCTCTTGATTGAACAGCCTACCTTCATCACACATTGTTTTCACGAGTTTCATGAGGATCAAATACTTTATAACACATATGACCTAATAGTTTTTATAATATTATTTGAAAATTATGGTTTTATGTATTATATTTTGTAACTTTCACAAAAACTAACTACATATAATTTGATAAATAAAAAGTTATTATGCTGAATTTTCTGTATTATAGTTTCATTTCCATTTTTTCTTAATTAAAAATCTTTATTACAAATAATTTTGGATATAATAAATATATAAATATATTAAAAAGAAATATACCTGAAAATTTAATAATACTATTGAGAAGTAATTTTACAAGTCACACTCACGTCAATTTTTAGGGTCTAGTTATATGTATATTATCAATAAATAACAATTAATTCATCTTTTAAATAATATAGTTCAGGAAAAACACAATCAGCTATATATATATTCTTATAAAATACTTGATTTTGTTTTATTTTCTTTTCAATCAAACAAAATTTTAATAATTAATCATCATATTTTTTTCTAATCAACAACTCTAACTTTATTTTTAATAAAAGTATTTCTAAGATAATATAATAGATATTAATAGCTAAAATAGTTTTATTTAATAAAATAATTAGAAAAGTAAAATTATATGTAATAGAAATAATCTGATCTTCTGATATTATATATATTTTTAGAGAAAACTGTCTTATGTTACAAGTGAACTATATCAAATCAATAGTTCAAATAATATAATATCTCAAATTTAAATTATGGTCATCACTTGATCCAAATTTGGTTTAAAGCGTACATTAACAAACTAATAAAATCAAACTTCTTTATTGTTGATTATTATTATGTTCTAAAATTTTAACCGACTATGAGTTTTCAAAGACTATTGGTTACTTTGGACTGCTTAACACTTTATTTTTTTCCCCTTCCAATATTAGCCCAAGACAGAATATATATCAAACTAGACAAAAAAAAAATGTTACCAGTTATATATTATTTTTAGTTTTTTTTTTGTGTTTGAAGTTTGAATTATCATTTTTTACAGTTGAATTAAAATTTCGAATTATTCCTTTTAATAAAATTTCTAACTCAAAATTTAACTCAACATCAAAGAAATTCTCATGTTTTAAGATTGAGTTAGCATTTAGTTATTTTTACTTTCAAAAAAAAAAAAGGCTTTCATAGTGTTACAACGTGAGTGAATCAAATTATTATGTTCTTTTTACTTAGTTTACTCTATGTACATCACTAATGTATGATATAAATAAAAAAAAATTAACATGGATATAAGTTTTGGTAAAATAATTACTATGAAATATATCGTTTAGACTGTAATATAGAGGTTGTTTTTGTTAATGTGGACTAAAGTAACCATAAAAATTGCAATATTTTCCATTTTAGTTTGTAAAATAAGAAGTTCAAGAAAATAATTGAGTGTTTTATATAGTGTTCTGAAAACTGAATTGGACTGATTAGTCAGACCGGTCCAAGTGTGATTTACATAGTTAACCGCATCCAAATTGAGTTATAAGGAAATTTAAATTAAACCGTCAAAAAAGATTAAAAGCGATGACAGCGGCTAACCATAAAATCACATTTCAACCAAATACATAACATAATTTGATTAATGTGGATACATCATTTAATTCCAGATATTTTCTTTTTTCTGCAAAATAAAATGATTTTTTGTTCATATATTTCCTTTTTCAATATACACATTTTATATATATTATCCGGATAATTTTTAAAACTGATGAACAAAATATTATCACATAAATTCAAAACAATAAAATTTAATAATGTTAGGAATATGATATTTTATTAATTTATAGATTTATTCATTTACAAAATAAAATCCATATCTCGATTTTCTATCTTAAAACATATTTTTCTAAAATAAGAAAAATATGTGTTGCGTAGATACATTATTTTTTGAGAAAAAATTAGACTCATATTGGTTTATTATATTATTTTATGTAAATAAATATATTTAATAAAATGTATATGTGGTTTTAGATATATTTTTACTAAATCTAATCAAAAATTATAATATAAAAACAATTCCATTATGAATGTAAAATAAAAAAAAATATGATGATAAGTTCATATTTATATAAAATATGTACACACATAAATTATTAATTTACAATTTATTGGGACCATATAATCAGTAGGATTTTCTAAAAAAATTATTATCTTATTATTTTATCAATTTTCATATTTTGAACCGGTTCAATTTGAGATCGAACAATTTTATTAATTTATTGAATATTAATTTATAGGATTTCAATTGTATTTAGTTGATAAACGATTTCTTATGTGGATATATTCAGAATATACTCTATACCAATAATTTTTGAACAAAGATCTATTACTATTAAGAAAGTTATAGAGAGATTATATGAGGATTATTTGTACATCCATCACAGGTCAGTAGAGTTTGCAAAACTTTGCATTAGCTAGCTCTGATTTTGTCACTGACACGATTCGGTTTCAAGGTCTCTTCTCTTTGCTCTTCAACTTCAAATCCAAGAAATCCAGGACCTTTCCACTCTCCGCTTATGTTGAGATTCACCTAGTCTCTTTGGAGAGCTTTGAAGTCGGAGCTAGAGCTGGTCATGCTCGTTCCACCTTCTTCCAAACTCTGCCGTTTGGTTTAATCAATGTCGATTCCGACTATTTCATGCTCGTGGTAGTAACTTATTCAGGGACACATCAGCTGCTTCCCACGGTTCTCCAATTGTCGAGCGAGACTCTCTCGTTAGCTTTGTTTATCCTTTGTTTTAATGTTCTTTTTATGATGTTCATCAAATCGTCGAGTATCCCTCCGATTATTATCTTGTTATGTAATCGCTTAAACTCGGTTTAGATTTAATATAATCGCATGTGTTACAAAAAAAATTATATGAGGCATAAACGGATGCATATTTTGCTAGTTTTGGTAGTATTAAACATGATTTCTGAGGCTGGTATTTACCAAATTTTGGTGGTTATCAAAAGTATAGAGAAACTGATTGATTTTGATATTGTTAATATTCAACTTTTAAACTGCTATCTGGCTTTAGTGGTTAGAACTAAAACTATTCAAAAAGAATGTTTTATGCTATGCAAAACTAACTTTCATACATTGTTATGATAAAATTATAGAAAATTGAAGTATAGCTAATATGTACTAACATAGACCAGACAGTGTTATATTATGTCAACCTAAGCCGGGATTGGTTAATGATTACACGGGTACGATCCAGTAAAACTAAACCATACACAACCAAAAGCAAATTTTAGCTAACCAAAATCAGAAGCAAAGTTTTGGTAAGTGACCTATTCGGCTAAATCTCCAGCCCGTTAGATAATATTAATAATTTAGTTTAATGATTTATTTTAAATGTACTGTCAGAAATTGTAAGTTATAAGGTGAAGTAAGGATTATCTTTAAAATGTACAATTTTAATAATATAGATAGATTACAAATTTGACCCAAAAAAAAAGATAGATTACAAATCAATACTAATACTATGTGTTACCAATAGAAGCCATTATATAGCAATCAACGGCAATGGAAGTAAAATAATGAAGCTTCGCTATCGGAAAGATATTCGTCCACTGTCCAAATTTCACGCGTCAACTCCGCAACGTAGGCAAATTAAATAAATACGTGCATTACACATGCACATAATATATTAATATAGTAATCAATTGGAATAAAATAAAAAAAAAACTAGACCTTGATGGATATTTCTTCACTTTTATATACAAAATCAGTTAAATACTTAAAAGTTTATATACAAAATCACTTTTATATACAAAATCACGCGTCGAGACGACTATAAAAGCAAGTGCACCTTCACTTCCATTTCTCACACCACAATCAAGTTTAGAAGCTCAAGCTCTGATTAAGTTACCAAACACAGTCATACATCAAGAGAAAAATGTCACGATTCATCAAGTTACTTGTGACAATTGCACTAACATTCGCAATTACAACCGCTATCATCACCACGACAACTACCAGAACCAACACCACGACCGAAGAAGTTGCTCTCGAAGACCCTTTCAAGGACCTTACACCTCCAGAAGCTATTAAAATCAGACGGAGTCGGTTCTTAGCTGAAAAAGACAACGAGGGTCTAAGACCTAAACCCCGTAGCCCTAATGCACCTGACTTTTGCGAGCCAAAGATCTGCAGTAGCACCGGAGGAAGCTCTAGAATGGCTTGTTGCAACAAAAAGTGTATGAATTTATCAACCGATAGTAAAAACTGCGGCGCGTGTAATAAGAAATGCAGGTTTGGGGAAACATGTTGTGGCGGTCAGTGCGCTAACTTGAGTTACAATAAAACCCATTGCGGTGAGTGTAACCTTAGTTGCAAACCAGGCGGGTACTGCGCCTACGGTCTTTGTAACTACGCGTGATGCTTCAATCATTCATTCACGTCATGCCGCCAACGTTTCACATTATGAGTATATAAAAAACATCTTTTTCTACTTTGAATGTCAACGAATAAAATGGAACATCCTCGTTTCCAGTACCAATTCTGTTTTTAAAAGTTTACTATGTGAGAGTGTGTATCATATTCATTCCAAATAATATTTCAGTTTCTTATAATTGTGTTATCCAGGAAGGGGTTTTATATATACATGTTATGTTTGTTTATTTGCTCTTTTCGAAAAAGTGAGAATGTTGTTGAAGATCAAAAAGGGTTCCACCAGTTGTATCGAATTACCAGAGAGGCCTTAAATAAATGATGGATCAAGGGTAATTAACATGTTAAGTCTCTTCTTTTGTTTGCACTTGAATTTGTATACATCGTGTGTCTAATTTAAAAAAAAAAATTTCAAGAATAATGTCAAGTGTTAGGAGACCAGTTTGGGACACCGACATGTTTCAAATTCGATCCATCTACTTTAAACTAAGTCATATTATTCTTAAACAACTACACATATATTAGTTTCTGGTTATGATCTATTTACATATCCGGAGAGAAAATATACTTATGTTTAGGGATTAACATGAGCTCCTTTATTGGTCCGGTATAACCCTTGGTCCAAAAACGAAGCTCAAAGATTTTCCGGGCTCTGTTCGCAGTCTTGAGCACTCCCTCACAATCTCTTTTACCGGACTTCTCTCATCTGTTTCCTTCAATACCTAACGTTATGCAACTTTTCTTTCTCTTCAAGGTGATCCATCTGATAAGATTTTAACTCTTCAATTCTATTTCTGACTTCTTGCTACAGAGTTTCATAGTTACATAGGAGGTAAAGAAGGATGAGTGGGACTTCGCAGATGCCATGCCACCGCACTGTTTTACCGTCCAACACTTCATCCACTAGAGGAATGATTCAACAGGTTCTCTTATGTTTTTTTTTTTTATACGTCACATTCCTCTATCAGACATGGTATTGACTTAGTTTTTTTTTTGTTGGGCTGCGCAGTTTAAAAAGGATGGCTGTTGTTGAAACAGAGGAGATGTACAAAGCTCGCAAAGAAGCTGAAGCTAACCATAAACTCCCTGCAACAGGCTCATATAACATGTCATGAGCATTTCAGAAGATGTTAAATCTCTTCAACCGTGTCATTTTTTTGTTTAAGAACCAGTAGTCTAGACGCCATAAGGAATGTTGGTATCAATAAGTTTGGTGCCTCTAATGCAATGCCGGATTTGGATCAAGCCCAATGATACATTGGTTTTTGGTCCCTAAAATCTTTTGACATTTTCTACATGAGAAATGTTTATGGTCCCCAAATTTTTAGATCCGGTGCTACTCTAATATTGTTGTGTACAATGGATCCTTGTGTATGTTTGCTCTCATTTTGTCAAATCCCAAATCAAACAGATTGATTACAATGGACTATTTTTTTAATCAATGAAAATCATGTATTGAGAAGAAGATAGATGGTGGAAAACAAAACTCTCATAACTTTATATTTGTTACATAACAACCCTTACGGAATGAAATCTATTACAACAAATGTAAGGTATAACGAGAACCAAAACTCGAGTTTAACCTAGAAAACTTTACTATGCACTACTTAAATTATGAACCCTAAGATACATTAGTCTTTCACCTAATGAAAAACATCTGCAGGTGTGACCCAAAACATACTATTACAAAATCTTGACTCGTAAACCTTCTTGATTTGCTTACTCTCCCACTCAAAAACGCTTAGACTTCCATCGATGAAGTAAACAGAGTTGTCTTTGATGAACCCTCCAGATCCTGTTTCACCTGCTGAAACCGCTACACATCTACCTTGAGAGCTCAAGAACAAAGCTTTTCCTCTCAAGCTTCTCACCATAGTCCACTCTTTAGCCTCTGAATTAAATTCATAAATCTCGAAATACGTTGTGAAGTCATAATCATCATCACTAACGTCTAGCTTCTGTAGAACCACCCAGAGTTTGCTTGAATCCGATTCTGCAAAGTATTTCTTGCAAGGGTCGTATTGAAACGGCGAGGCGCTGCATAGAGGAATAGCTTTTGGATTGTTAGGGCTAAGTTCACACTGATATATCCTTCCAACTCTGTCCATGGAAAAGAAGACACCACTGCAGAACACAATGTCATCAACGTGATCAGACTCTAACCCCGTCCATTGTTTATCTCCGCGTCTGCAGAAAGCTAGTTTTCCTCCTTCGGTGTTGTAGATCACGAGCACAACCCAATCAGGGTCTAGTAAACTTGTGGAAGAAACTGCTTTCTTTATAAAGTTCTTTATTAGGGTTAGGGCTCCAGAATGCTGAGAGATAGCTTGGAACTGAAGCAACCGCTGAATGTCCTCGAAAGATGCCAATGGTGGCATAGAAACAACGGTTTTAGTAAATGGGTTCTGTAATTTTACCTCGAACGGGAAAGAAACATTGACTGTTAACAAACACCCTCTTGTGCCTCCGCAAATCCATTTCTGATCATTACCGGAGAAAATGATATTTTCCGGAGATAAGATTCTAAAACCATCAGAGCAGTGAGCTTCTTCATCGGAGGGATGGGAAACAAAGAGAAATGGAACGAACTTGCGGCTGTACACGGCGGAAGATGAATATCTCCAAGAAGAACAGACGGTGGCACAACTAAGGATGTCTTTAGCATCGGTTAGGCTGTGGAATACAGCTTCTATAAGCTCCGGGAGTAAGTCCGACCAGGACGATGATGAATAAGATAATAAAGCCATTATTGTTAATTTATTAATGTAGAGAGGAAACGGTCAAAGCTTGTGAAATGATAAGGAAGTTCTTTATAAAGCCAAGAGAAACTTGTGTTGCAAGCAAACGTGCGGACCAAGTTTTGACAAAGGAACTTTTAGTTTGTTTTTTTGGTCAAAAGTAACTTTTAGTTCAAGCTACCGCTTTTCTAAACAATTGAAAAACAATTGAAGCCCATAAATATTATAGGATCCAATAATAACATTACACACCGTCTTATAGTAAACTGTTCTTAAAAGACCCCAATTAAAAGCAGAACATATTCAAGCCATTTTAGGGTCCACCTCTAAGATTGAGCATTGCCTCGATCTCATCTCCATCTTTCATATCAAGCTGTAAAAAGTAGAGATTTTGTGTTTTAGAATATGATCCAATTTCTAAAAAGGAAAACGCTAGATAGAGAAAGAGAGAGATTTGACCTCATCTGGAGTCTGTTCAGGAAGGAGAGGACGACCATCAAGCAAGAAAACTAACGAGTTCAAATCCACATATACACGGTCGCAGAAAGCGTCCATCAACTTCTTCAGCTGAGCGCTTCTCTGCATCCTAAAGGTGACTTCATATCCATCCTAAACAATCAACAAACAAAAGCTTCAAGTCATAAGATCCTGTCTTAAAAACTAATAACAAACTTCAGAAAATGCCTACAGTTTATGCTCAGACAGTTAAATATAATTACTATCTCCATAATACACGCATACAACTGTTTGGTATGTACTAACAACAAGTTCTTGATTGTTACTAAGGCAAAACATCATTCACAACTCTTACACAAGAATACCTGCCATTGTAGATAAAACACATATATAAAGCCTAAAAGGTTCCTTTAGACATGCCTATGAAAATTTCAAGACAAACCCAACACCCTAAAAGGAAAAAAAAAATCTTAGCTACACACAATCAACGCTAAAATCCGCAAAATTTTACAAGATATAGAAAAATAAGTGAGAAAGAGTTGACAGTGACAGAACTGGGCCCTTGACTTTGAGAATGATTCGAGCTTCTCCTTGGTCTCTTGGCTTCTTGTCTTCTTCTTGAGTAGCAGACATCTTCCTTTTATCAGAAGCAAAAACTCTGATCTGTGAGAAAGAGGAAGTTCGGGAGAGGCATCTTTTGACCTATACCGCAGACGGTGTCGTTTCTTAGCATTTATAATGGGCTGCTTTTAGAGAAAGTCGGCTCACATGTTGGTTAGTTACTTGTCTTCTCATCAAAATGTGAAAACACTTGCGTTAAATTGCAATTTGAATAAAATACCAAAATATATCATTCTGTATTTTTCCAAATAATCACAGTGTTTATAAAATATTTCTTAAAGTTGTAAAGGGTTTTAAATGATCTAGGAACTGTTACTAAACTCGTAAAAAACACATTCAAAACCTTAAGTTTCTGGTATTTAAAAAAATCAAGGTCGTGATATTTTTCACCTATTTCCCGAAATTTTAGTTAAGTTCTCAGCATAAAACTAAACTTTATATTGATAAACTAATGACGCATCAAATTTTGATTAGTTTATGTTCGAGACGTAGTATCTCGATGGTTTATTAGATTATGTTTCGTGAGTCGTCACGACTACTATTTGCGGCCCGACACTATACTAGACACATTACAGTTGTGGACCCACCGTCTTGGTGGACCCACCGCATTGAATTATTTTTCTTGGTTGATAACAAAATGTGGTTATATATATGCAAATTTGATTCGAAAGACTATTAGTTAACGTTCATATTTAGGATAGGGCCATAATAGTTAGAAAGAAGTCAGCGTGAAAGTGACATTTCTCTGTATAATATGATGTTTCATGGACACTGTATCATTTTTCAGTTACGTGTAAACGAAAGCTTACCGACATCAAGCCAACATATCGGACGATGTCGACCAACGTCATAAAATATATGGAAAAATAAAGTTTAGTTTCATGATTCAGGAATTATATTGTTATATGTATGGGTATCATTATACCTAAATGACTAAACCAGTATACAAAGCACGAACACGAAAACAAATAACAATCATTTAAAGTATACTATTCTATATGATGTCTGATTCTGTTTTTATTTTTTAGGTCTCAAATACATTCCAAAGCTCAACCCAGTTTGGAATCTGTAACAGTACCATATGTTCATTAGTATTGAGTATGTACATTGGTACGTACGATCTTTTGAGTTGTCAAATTAGTTTTATACAGTAAGAATCGCAAAATTTAAGTAAAAAACATCATTAGAAACCTGTTAAACAAAACCCTAAACAATGAAAAGATATTACTCTTAGATCAAGATAGCATATTAGAATGTCACCAAATGTGAAATTAAAATCGAAACAAGTATTTTTAGTTTATCATAAAACATGTGTCGACTAAACTGCGAATGAAGATTCTTACTAATTTCAAAACTGGACATGCATATTTGTCTTAGTATTTCCTGACTTTAGTCATAGACTCATAGAATTCATTTAAAAATGATAGCTAGCAGTTGTGTTAAACTTCTGAAGTACTAACCTCTACAAATAATGTTTCTTCTCCTTGGAAGGGCACCAAATATATGGACCATTTAGCTTGATTTATTATTATACTATTGAAAATTATTTGAGGTGTTTGTTTAGCTAACCTACAAAGTTCGTTTTTTCCACACATGACACATCTAAACGCATTCATTGATATATATATACAAGGTAGAAGGGATACAAATATATTTTTCTGTATTATACCACTTCCAAAATTCTAAATACAATTTAACATTCACACCAAAAAAAAATCTAAATCCAAGTTGCTACATCTAGTATACAAGTTACATAAAAAATGTAAATAAAACAATGTCCTATTAAGTGTTTATACATGTCATTAAAATTTTGAATACCTTCGATCACTACACTATACATATCTAACCAATTATTGATATAATACATCCAATGAGCAAAAAGGACGGAATTTCTGGGAAGTCTCCAAAAAAGGACTTCGTGCAGGAAAAAGAGACGTTGGAAACGAGAGATAGCTATAACGTTCAAATTTAGGAGACAGAACAAATGACACATGGCTCCATTGGAGTAGATTCTTCACTTCACGACAAGACAAAATGCTCTTTAAAAAATCATGGATTGATTATGTAGTAAATATTACTCATCCGTAACATTTTCATTTTGACACTTTTTAGTAATACAAAAAAACATTATTTTATAAGTTCAATATAAATTGAGTATCTTTGTTTATTTTAACTTTAGTATAAATTTTAGAAATACTCTGATATTATAATTATAGTTTTATATCACAATTATGATTGACTAAAAGAAATATATATGGCCAAACAATTGTTAAATAAGGTATTTGTAATTTCATCAAAGTAATTTAAAATAAATAAATGTGTAATTGTCTGGGTACAGAGAAGAAGCTTTGATCTATTTTATGGGTGAATTGGCTGAATATCGTAAAAGAGAGAGATACTTGAGAATTGAGGAAAAAAGTAGTATATTGGGAAGAGAGACAGATGAAAATACGGTATATCCCTAATTTATGGGTTTTGTGTGTATAGAGGATGCAAATACTCCTATTTCATTAGTTAACGTGAAAAGTGTTAACACCTGCTTTGTAAACTAAGACCAATGGAGTAATACTCCAACATCAAACGACAAATTTATGAAATTATTATGGTAGGGTTGATGAGTTGGTGCGTCAGATCACCGATTATTTATCACAACTCCGACCAGATTCGTCTATATATAATTGTAATTATAACTTTTAACGGTTATATCAGCTGTTTTCAACAAGTTATTAATACTACCACTGATCTACTTATTAACATTGAATAAATGTATGGTTAATTTGCTTCATTGACCAAATAGTTAGTGAACATGTTGACTGAGAGATACGTATAACTCAACGGTTGTAATGGTTTTTCATTAACGCTGCATTCATACCATTATTAAATTCAATTTTTTTTTATAAATATAAATAAACACTGATTTTTTCCTTTTGTCAGATTACGTGATCTAACGTGAAAAAAAAAACTACAATTCGTTTTAATAATCATGCAGAACGTTAAGAAAATCCCCTTAAAATATGCAAAGCTGCAGAGTAGTATTAATAAACAAATCTAAAAAATGGTAATTTTGGCACGTACCCCACCATCTGACAACATTAGGTACAGCTCCAATCAGTACGATTGAAACGGTCAAATTTGCAGTAAAAAAAATTAAAATAACATTTACTTTCACACGTCACCGAGTAATATCTCACATGGGTCCTACCCACTCCCTCCACCTCCCTCTCCTCATCCACTATATAAACAAACACCTCAAACTAATCCGAAACTCAAAACATTTCTCAGTCTCTGCAACAATGGCTGTCTTAATCCTCTCTGTCCTAATCCTCTCATGCTTCTCAGCAATCCCATTCACACATGCAGGTTAAATCTCCACCACAATCTCTCTTCACAAATGTGCCACGTGTCAGATTCTTATAATTTTTTTTTCATTTCTTAACAGATTCTGGGATGATCGGAGTGAACTACGGCCGGATAGCTAACAACCTCCCACCACCGGAGAAAGTGGTTAACCTTCTAAAATCCCAAGGAATCAACCGCGTCAAGCTCTTCGACACCGACAAAACCGTCCTCACCGCGCTCGCGAACTCCGGCATCAAAGTCGTCGTCTCCCTCCCCAACGAGAATCTCACCGCCGCCGCCGCGGATCAGAGCTACACCGACAAATGGGTTCAAGAAAACGTGAAGAAGTACACTCCGGCGACTGATATCGAAGCCATCGCCGTGGGAAACGAAGTGTTCGTCGATCCCAAGAACACGACGAAGTACCTCGTCGCAGCTATGACTAACGTGCAAACCTCTCTGGCTAAGTTCAACCTCGGCGATATCAAGATCTCGTCTCCGATCGCGTTGAGCGCGCTGGCGAATTCGTACCCGCCATCATCCGGTTCGTTTAAACCGGAATTAATCGAAACGGTTATTAAACCGATGTTTGATCTGTTGCGCAAAACGTCGTCGTATGTTATGGTGAATGCTTACCCGTTTTTCGCGTACGCGGCTAACGCGGATAAGATCCCGTTGGATTACGCTTTGTTCAAGGAGAACGTGGGGAGTGTGGATTCAGGTAACGGTTTGAGGTATAACAGTCTTTTCGACGCGCAAATCGACGCCGTTTTCGCAGCGATGGCGGCCGTTGGATTTAACGACGTTAAGCTCGTGGTGACGGAGACGGGATGGCCTTCTGCTGGAGACGAGAACGAGATAGGAGCCGGTGCCGCTAACGCGGCGGCTTATAACGGCGGGTTGGTGAAAAGAGTGTTGACGGGTAACGGAACGCCGTTAAAACCTAACGACCCGCTTAACGTTTATCTGTTCGCTCTGTTTAACGAGAATCAGAAGACGGGCCCCACGTCGGAGAGGAACTACGGGCTGTTTTACCCGAACGAGAACAAAGTGTATGACGTTCCGTTCTCTGTTGTTGAGGTGGCGCCGGTGGGGGACAGTAAAGCGAAGGTTCCGGTGAAGGCGACGACGTCGCGCGTGGGAGAGACGTGGTGCGTGGCGAACGGGAAGGTGGAGAAGGAGAAGCTTCAGGAGGCTCTGGACTACGCTTGCGGCGAAGGTGGCGCTGATTGCCGTCCGATTCAGAAGGGTGCCACGTGTTACGATCCGGAGTCGTTAGAGGCGCACGCTTCGTACGCGTTCAACAGTTATTATCAGAAGAACGCGCGTGGTGTTGGCACGTGTGATTTTGGTGGTGCGGCGTACGTGGTCTCGCAACCTCCTAGTACGTACTCTAATCCTATTCTTTCTCGAAAATTATCATCTTAATTAATACAATTTTACGTATATTTATTTTTCACATTTCTGCTCTTATTTAAATTAATTCGTTATTTTTTTTTGCTCTTTTTATTGCTTATAGGGTACGGGAAATGCGACTTTCCAACAGGGCATTGAAATGTATATGGAGGATCCGGGTGATTAATTTAGTAGCATTTTCTCGTTATTTATTTAATACATTGTTTTGTCATTCGAGATATTGATTATTTTTAGTATGCGTAGAATTCATTTCAGTATTGTATATTTTCGTTGGTTTCGTCCTTTAATATAGTTTCAGTATTTTTTCTATTCCTTAAACTCTACGACATTTATTCATAAAATCAAACCGCATCCAGTATAGCGCGCCAATTAATTAACCACGTGTAAGGAAAAAAGTTAATTTGAGCGTTTAACTCGCAGATCCTCGAATATATGTATTCGTTGATTCAATCTATTACCAACATTAATTGTCATCGTTAATAGTTAAAGAGAAATGATATTTACAAATAAGAACATCTACACCGGTTTTACAAAAATAGTCTGTACTCTGTACAACGATGAGACTGGTTCCAATTTCATCTGTTAAAGCGCAAGGTATTTATGAAAGATTCGGTGAAAGAAGATCCTTTAGACATAACACAAGTGTTCCAAGTCACAGATGCTTCAAATCCAAAGACACAGTTGCTCATGTCCTAAAGGTACAAAACGATCAAGGATTTGCCCTCTTTCTTGCTTTGATATAACTAACATGCTATCTTTTGCAATTCCACACAACCTCATGGATTATCTGGCATAATTTTGTTACCTTTTCGTAATGGTTTGTTTTCGTATTTTGCAGTCTGCATACACGTTGTTTGATCTAGTTATAAGACCAGCTTAGCTTGGTGTTACGTGCGCAGGTAGGAATCAAGGAGGTGAGAAAGCTTGAGAAACTCAAACAGCGAGAGAGTTGATCAGCTTTGTTTTAACTTTTAACAACTTACTCAGATTTGTTATTTTATATATAGTTGAAAGCTCTCTGTTTCTCTCATCTTTGCATTTTCATTGATGAACAAGATCTCATAATGTAGCTGCACTTCCAGGGAAGCCCTGGTTCGGTAACCTTTTGTTTTTTGCAATTTGTTTCATGAAGTTATAGAAAATGGAACATCAAACCCATAAGGATGATATGACATTATATGATTCTGATGGAAACAGGCTCTTTGGTCATACATTATAGCTTCCTCTAACTAGAGACACAAATCCTACGGATCCATAAGGATCAAAGTGCAATAAAAGCCTAGAATAAGTTAACATTACGAGACATTATGGCTAAAACAATACCAAATCCTGAGAATTTTACTATGATTCTTATCATTCTTCAGTCCCTTGAGAATTCAGACACAGTCCCAGTTTCCAATGACGAGTTTTTGCTTTCTGCAGAGGAAGTAAAAAAAAAAACAAGTACGAACAAGACCAATGAACAAAACTTGAACAGTTCATAATACCATACCAGTTAAATTTTTCGACTTTGAAGCTTATTACCTTAGTTTGTTCGGTGTCTGTCATGTTCATGTCCAGCTTAACGCCTCTGTTCAATGGAGATTCATTGTCGAATTCATCACTCTCTTCCCCTGAATCTTCAACTTCATAATCCTTACTGGCCACTTTCTCTCTACCCTCAAGCATCGCAATCTACAAACCAAAAAGGAATCCATCATTCACATCCAAAAACTCAATTCTTACACACCAAAAACCCTAAAATAGATTTTTTGCCGATTTAGGAAAGCTTACTGGAGCGTATCTGAATCTTCGCTTAGGCGGCTCCTCCGTCTCACCGGAGGCTGTAACCGTCTTCGTCGATGAAAGTGGGGTCCACTTATGGAGAAGCATATGGTGTTGAGAATTGCTCCGACCGTTGGGTTTAGATGGTCGGAAAATGCCGACTGGTGAAGTTGAGACACGTACCCACTTCTTCTTCCACTTCCTTACACGGCCGTTGAAAACCGCCGTCGAGGACGGACCACTGTATCTCGATGACGCCCGGCTCAGTCTCGACGCTACGCCTTCCATCTCCGCAAGCAAATTCTCTTTCTCTCTCGCTGTCAGTGGCCGGACAAAGAATATGGTTACTTTATTAAACTAGAGGCAATTCCTTTAGTGCCCCTATTTCTCATTCTCTAATCTTTCTAGGACACGTTTTTTCTTTTAATTTTATATGTCAAACGAAAAATCATAAAAATAATCTGGAAACGTGAATATTTTTTATTTGATTTATAGAATTTTATAAAAATATTTCAAAATTCAAAAAATTAAATTTTCATATTTTCACGAAAATCATCAAAATGTGATTAAAAACGATTTTAAAATATATTTTTTTCGAAATCTGATCACTATAGAATTTAAATATTTGCCCAAGGGTTCACTAATCCATTGGGGGGTTTTTGTTTAGTTTTGAACATCGGGAAGGATTTAATTAGGGGTTTGGGTTTTGATCAAAAACAAGAATAATGAAATAGGGGTATAAGAGATCTTGTGAGCGCATAAGAGATTAGCTTTAAAAAAATAGGGGCATGAGAGAAGATGCCTCATTAAACTACTGTTACTCTGTCTTTAGAAACGCAGCGTTTTATAGCGAAAGCTTATTAGGGACATATATGTAAATTACTTAGCTTTGACTAGGAAGACCCAGCTTCCCGCTCTGATTTCCGGGTCAACGAAACCAAAGCGCCGAATTCAAGTGTAAGAAAAACTTCAAGCTTATTTTTTTATTTTTATTTTTTTAAAACTTCAAGCTTAATTGTATATTTTTCCGAGAATATGTGTGGCATTGAGTTTTGGTATGAATGAGAAAGGATGCAATTGAGTAGTGAACTTCCAGGAATTGTTTGTGAAGATTGTTCCCAAAGAGTCCTATGCGAGTTCATGCTTATACTCTTATAAGAGGAACAAAACAAAACAAAATTAGTAACAAAAACATTGTCAGAAAAAACTTGAATGCAGTTCTGATGCAGCAAGATATTTGGAAATTATCCAAATATCTTTACGATTCATTAATTTATTTAGATAATTACCTTTTATTTGTATTTTTCATATTTTAATAGTTTTCCTATTTTATCTAAGATTAGGGTTTTCTAGATTTAAGGTTTTATTATAAATAGGCATTCAAGCCTAACGATGTATGGAGACTTTGATAATTAATAAAAGAAGCTTTGCTTTATACCTTGATATAGATTTGATTCAATTCATCTATTTTAAGTTGCCTTGAACAAGATTCGATTAAATTCATCTTCTTCAGGAAGTTGGTCTCAAGAAGCTAACGAAAGTAACTCTTGATCGATCTAAGAACAGGTCTCGAAGAACCCTAAATTCTTAGATCGACCGTTCAACCTATCTATCCGCTACATCAGTTGGTATCAGAGCCAGGTTCCTTTGGTTTCTCAATCGAAGGCGATTCTGGATGTCATGGTGAGTATTAGTATCTATCCTATCCTGGACGAAAGTCCTTTTGTTGAAAGAGAAGAGAACCATGAGATCTATCGAGAGATCTATGGTGATCCAATCTACGATGTTTATGAAGACGATGTTCATCATGTCGACTTCATCTTCAAAGAAGGTTCTTTTAAGAATCTGGATCGTGCAAATTTTGTGCAAAAACGAGTTTGTGAAGAATCTGGATTTATACAGATCCGTACAGAAGTTGTGCAGAATCAAGTTTCTGGAAATTTTCTGGAAAATCAGCAACATGCAAAATTCGTGCAAAATCATATTTTGGTGACAAGAACAAGATTGAAGATTCGAGGACGAATCTTTCTTGGCCGGCGAGACCTGATGCAGCAAGATATTTGGAAATTATCCAAATATCTTTACGATTCATTAATTTATTTAGATAATTACCTTTTATTTGTATTTTCCATATTTTAATAGCTTTCCTATTTTATCTAAGATTAGGGTTTTCTAGATTTAAGGTTTTATTATAAATAGGCATTCAAGCCTAACGATGTATGGAGACTTTGATAATTAATAAAAGAAGCTTTGCTTTATACCTTGATATAGATTTGATTCAATTCATCTATTTTAAGTTGCCTTGAACAAGATTCGATTAAATTCATCTTCTTCAGGAAGTTGGTCTCAAGAAGCTAACGAAAGTAACTCTTGATCGATCTAAGAACAGGTCTCGAAGAACCCTAAATTCTTAGATCGACCGTTCAACCTATCTATCCGCTACATCAAGTTCCTTGCAGATGAATTGGTTAAAGAGGCCAAGAACTCGATCACAGAGTTCAAGAAACATAAACAAGAGTACGATGAGGTAGTTCTCTCGTGAATTAAGTAGTATCATTTTCTTGACTATAAGATAACTGTACGCAGAGATTCTTCTTGAATTAGTGGTTTAGGTACACGATACTTTAGAAGGAGCAAGAGTTCTAGAATGGTTGAAAGAACAAGCTGCCATTCACTACATTTACTCGGTGATTATTAGTAATGTAATGTATGTAGTGAACCAAAACAAAAGCATGTAATGTATGATTCATGATTGGCATGTTCTGTTTTTTTTTTTTTTAAATGAGTATTTCTGTGTTTGGAATTGTGCTTATTTTGTCACACAAGGGGACACTACTATATTGGATAATTGTTTGTAAGATAAATAGTTGGTATAGATTATTGGTAAAAACTTTGAATTTTTATTATTCCTCCCATTTTAATAGATGACATTTTAGGTTTGTGTACATAAAAACATATAGTTTTATACATTTTCAAAACAAAAACACTACATAAACCCAATTCAACTAACTAGAAAAATAGACAGAAAAATATAAAAAAACTCATATAATATAAAAAACTAATTAATTAACACTCAAAAGTTTAAAACGTCATGTAATTTGACAAAAAAACTTCTCTAAAATGTTATCTATTTAATAAAGGAGAGAGTATTATTTTGTATCACAACACAAAAACACATATATTTGACATTGTTTGTATAATTAACACATTAGTTGCGATAAATGATTTCTGGGAATACTTTTTACTTTGTAATTTTTGCTCACTGTTTTATTTTATAATTTGTGTTTTATCAAAATTTGGCACATGTATATAAGAGCACATCCAATCCAAAGGGGAAGAGGTTTTAGGGAAAAAATAATTAAATAATCAATAAACCTATAAAAAGTTAAGGATTCAATCCTTAAAATTCCTAAATAAAAACTATTTCTTAACGAATCCTTACACTATTTGCGGGTCCTCACGATACGTAGCAGCTCGCGAATGGTCATCTTATTTCTTCTTCTTTTTTAAAAAAAATTCAAAATATCCTTAATAAATCCGAAATACCATAATTTTTTAAGGACTCCTATGAGTCTCACGGTTGCGGATCTCTAAGCATGTAGGTCGATTGTACATTTAATTTGCCAACTAACATTGACTATGACTTGTTTGTTTGTCACATAACTCTTTTTCTTTCATAGTATGGTTTATTTGACTCTTGACTAATTAGCGTGCCGTCTGACCTCATCACTTTCGCTGCTTGTTTTACCGGTAGTCACCAAGCTACTCCTCGTGATCTTGTTCAAACTTCAAACTAAAAAAATGAAATGTTTTTTTTTAAACAATCCTTGTAATTATTACATCTCCTCTAACCAACATCTCCAACATATATAAAATTGTTGACAGGTTTACATAGAATTCCCATCATTTTATAGAAATTTGTATTTTTGGGATAAGATACAATGTCTTGAGTTTTACAAACCACATTTTATAATTCCAGTTTATTAAAAAGACTTTTGTATGTTTGTCTCTGTCAAGAAAGTATCTAAACTTGTGTGGTCAAACAAGCAAAGCACCAAAGTCAAGGAAGAGTAAAAGACACAGTTGTGTCTGAAAACAGTGTCATGTTGTTGTGTAATAAAGCAGGGGAACTAGGGGGTTAAAATATTTTGTTTTGGCTGTTTGTTAATTGGAGTTTCCATCGTACTACAAAAGTTATGGGTCCCACACCACCACCCCGTCTCTTCCACCTCTCCCATCCATAGAAAATTTTTGTTCCCCTTCAATATCATTTTTCTCTCACTCTTCAATAGTGAGTTCACATTGTCCTCACAGAGCTTCAGATCTACAAGTAGAAGAAGAAGAAGAGTGTTGGAAGTGTCAATCTCGGTAACTAAACCTTCTCTCTTTCCTTTTTTACTGTGAAGTTTTGATCAATTTGAGGTTTTCTTTCTTTTGGTTTTTTGATTGCTTTGGTTTCATCACCAATGCTGTTTTGATTCCCTTAAAATTCGTATTTTTATTACAGATATCTACTGATTGTTTACCCTCTGCTTGATCGGATTGTAGGTTTAACATTCTTAAGCTTTTTCTGGGTCAAACATAAATATAGTGTTTTGAGCAAAAGTCTTTTGTTTTCCCATTCATAGGATTCATTTGACTGTTTGGTCTGTGAAGTTAAATCTTGAGCGATGTTCATTAGTTATGATCACCAACTAGTCTTTGTTTTGATATTTTCTGCAGGAAATCTTCTAATTTCGTGACAATGGTAGTCACTGATGCTGAAAGTCCTCATCTAGGGGAGATTACTTGTGGTACCTTACTTCAAAAATTGCAGGTAAAAACCACACAATCACCTCTTATCTAAGCTGCATGGCTTTTACTCATCCTTGTGAAAACTTTTTGTTCTATAGGAAATTTGGGATGAAGTTGGTGAGAGCGATGAGGAACGAGACAAACTGCTACGTCAGATAGAGCAAGAATGTCTTCATGTTTACAAGAGAAAAGTTGAACAAGCTGCCAAATCCAGAGCAGAGCTTCTTCAGACCTTGTCAGATGCTAATGCTGAACTTTCCAGCCTCACAACTTCTCTTGGAGACAAAAGCTTTGTTAATTGCATTGTAAGTTTTATAGTCCCAAGTTTAGAAGTGGAACATGTAATTGTGAGTGATATATGTGTTTTTTCTTGCAGCCGGATAAGTCTTCTGGAACGATTAAAGAACAGCTTGCTGCTATAGCACCAGCTCTTGAACAACTGTGGCAACAGAAAGATGAAAGAGTCAGAGAGTTCTCTGATGTTCAAGCTCAAATCCAGAAGATATGTGGAGAGATTGCTGGTGGTTTGAGTAGTGAGATTCCTATAGTCGATGAGTCTGATTTGTCCCTGAAGAAATTAGATGATTTCCATAGCCAACTCCAAACGCTTCAGAAAGAGAAGGTAAGTGAACATTAGTTGAGACATCTCAAGAGACATAACTAACTTGCTTTTTGCGTTGACAGAGTGATAGGCTGCACAAGGTGCTTGAGTTTGTGAGTAGTGTTCATGATCTATGTGCTGTTCTTGGTTTGGACTTCTTAACCACTGTTAGAGAAGTTCATCCGAGTTTAGATGAAAAAACCGGTGAAGAATCCAAGAGCATTAGCAATGAGACGCTTTCGAGGTTGGCTAAAACCGTCTTGACTCTTAAAGATGATAAGAAGCAAAGACTTCATAAGGTAAAAAATGACAAATCTCTTATCATTCATTAACTGAGCTGAAACATGCTAAGATTACAGAGAGTTTGTGTTTCTTGTTTTCAGATTCAAGAGCTCGGTACTCAGCTAATTGATCTATGGAACCTGATGGATACTCCTGATGAGGAGAGAGAGCGTTTTGATCATGTTACTTGTAACATCTCTGCTTCAGTCGATGAGGTCACTAAGCCAGGTGCTCTTGCAAGTGATCTGATCAAGCAGGTATATACATGTATACTCTAATATATTCATATTAGTTACTCTTTTGCTAAAAGATTCATGTGATTCTTGAAGGCTGAGGTGGAAGTGGATAGGCTTGACCAGCTGAAAGCTAGCCGAATGAAGGAACTTGCTTTCAAAAAACAGACTGAGCTCGAGGAGATATACGTTCGTGCTCACGTGGAAACAAACCCTGAATCTGCTCGTGAGAGGATCATGTCATTGATTGACTCTGGAAACGTTGAGCCTACTGAGTTATTAGCAGACATGGATAGTCAGATAGCTAAGGCCAAAGAAGAAGCGTTTAGTAGAAAGGATATTTTGGACCGTGTTGAGAAATGGATGTCAGCTTGTGAGGAAGAGAGCTGGTTAGAAGACTACAATAGAGTAATAATAATGCATATGTTTTTTTTCAAATACTATGATGATACATCATAACAAATTTTAACTTTGAGTTGGTTCTTGAGAACAGGATCAGAACAGGTACAGTGCAAGTAGAGGAGCCCATTTGAATCTCAAGAGAGCTGAGAAAGCACGTGTTCTGGTTAGCAAGATTCCTGGTAAGTGTAGAAGAAGTTTAAGATATATACTTAATAGATTTTCTCTAGTCTTAACGGATCTTTTGTGTTTTGTGGAAAAGCCATGGTTGATACATTGGTTGCTAAGACCAAAGCTTGGGAAGAGGAACACAGCATGTCCTTTGCATACGATGGTGTTACTCTGCTAGCTATGTTGGATGAGTACGGTATGCTTAGGCAAGAACGAGAAGAGGAGAAACGGAGGCTGAGGGTAAGCTCATCATATCTACTTGATTAAGTTAAAGTGAAAATGTTAGTAAAGCAATAAACTCATTGTTTGTCTTAATGAACAGGAACAAAAGAAGGTTCAAGAACAGCCACACGTAGAGCAAGACACTGGCTTCACCACCAGGCCAAGCCCTGCAAGACCGGTCAGTGCAAAGAAACCAGTAGGGGTACGAGCTAACAATGGAGGAGGAGCCAATGGAACACCAAACAGGCGTTTATCTTTGAATGCAAACCAGAATGGAAGCAGGTCTGTTGCAAAAGAAGGAGGGAGAAGGGAAAGCCTTAACAGGCCGGCTGCTCCTACAAACTACGTTGCTATTTCGAAAGAAGAAGCTGCTTCATCTGTTGTTTCTGGTGCTGCAGATCAAGTTCTAGCTTCACCGTGAAGATAAGAAAGGAAAAGATGTGTAGTTTCTTTTTCACTATGTTTGTGAGTTGGTTTTAAGGAGAGAGGGTTCTATGAAACCACCTGAGAGATGACAAGAAAAAAAAAAAGACATTTGAGAATAGAATGGTGTAGTAGAATGTGAATGTGTATGTGTTAGTGTTGTTTTAATAGTTTGTACCATCTTGACTTAAGAAACCCACTTTTTTACCTTATCTAATAAGGGAGAGAAACAAGAAAATCAATTCTCTTATATATCCTCATTAATCAGCTAGAGAAAGTATCATGTTTTGGTTTAATCAAATTAATGATTAATCAGTGATGCTTTTCTGGAATTGAGCTGTATATGAATCTATACCAGGCTTGAAATTTATAGATTCAGCAACAAATACTATATTCTTTCGAGTATCTCAGCTGTTTTGGGGATAGATTGACAAAAGTGAATACAAGGAAAATTTCAAGAGGCAAGAAGCTTTTTGATTTGTTCACACTAATATATAGGAGTTACAAAACACGATAAGCTGTTAAGGATTGAAGATACACAAGGATCAAAGAGAAGCTAGCAACCCGACCACATAAGTTTCTCTAGTTTTAAGTACATCTGTTTTGTCCTAGTGGAGGAGTACTTACTCTCCTTCGTTTAGGATTGGGACAATCAGAGGCTTCATCTGCGCAAGATATACAATTGCCCACCTAACCACATTCAAGAAGACCACATTAAGAAAATTTGGTGACCAACATAGAATCACACTAGATATTCATAAACGTTAATATAGGTAAAAGATCAATGATGGTTAAAGCAAGAGAAAGAGAATGTTAACTTACATCATCCAGCAGCAGACAGTGGCAGTAATGATCAAAGTAAGATGCAGCCTGGGATTATCAGACAAACAAATATTTAGATCAAACATGATGCAAAGTGTGACAATTCTCAATGAATCATTTATATTTTGATTCGTGCTATTCCATCTCCATTAGAAAGATTGAGAGCTCCAAAACGACATGCAACTACATCAAATGAAAGTTAAGAGATGAAGGGAAGTATGCATACAGATTCGTGGAGGGACCTCTATTGCAGCAGATTATAACACACAAAGAAGCAATAACTCCGACGGCGACGAAGATTAGGGTTGTTACAAGGAAACCCATCTTTGACTTCACTGAGAATTTATGTGACGTGGCGTGTAGAAGCCTTGGGCGGTGATAACGAAGACGATGGTGTCTTCTTCTTCTTCGTGTGAATATACGCTGATATGAGTTTGGATCCGTGAGGGCAAAATGACACTTGTCTTTAGATGTTAGGCCAAAGTCAAACACAGTAATTATTTCGTTTTACTTCTCTTCTGCTCAATTTGCATTAAGCTACTAAATAAGCTTTTGTGGTCATCAAACTTTTTTTTTGGATTAATCAAGTTCGGGTTTGGATTCGAAAAGCAACAACGTTTTGCATCAGGATGGTTTCTCAGTTCATCTGCATTTTACCTCTGCTTAGAATGATTGAGATTTGTTGCATTCAAACTTTATGAAAGGTACCTACTGGTATCGATTTAGCTTATAATTATTATTGTTCTCTCTCTTTTCTACTGATGCTCGAAGTGTTCTCCTAAGACAATTTGGTCATGAACCTATATTATAATGAATGATTCAGTGTTAAAAAAAATAAAATAAGCTTTTTGGTCATAAATGTTTTAAACAGATAGTTTTGCAATATCAAAAAATAATAATAGATTTACACATAGCTTGCTGAATTATCAAAAAATAATAATAGATTTACACATATATATAGCTTGCTGAATAACTGGATATCCCTAGAAACAAAGCCAACAGAAAAATGCTAGGTTGCCTAGAATCGAAAACAGATATACGTGAAAACGAAGTGTTTCAAAACGTGGAAACATGATTTAAAAAAAAAAATAGAAATGTAAACGTTTTAGAAACATCTATAATATATATGTGTGTGTCATGTGTGTGTGTATATATATGTATGATTGATCAACATGTAAGCTTATTTTTTTGTTTGATTTATCTAAGAGAAAAAATTAAGTAATATAAGTATTTTTAGTACATTTTATTAAAATTATAATCAATAACTAAAAAAGTAACAAATGTTATCATTTGATTAAACTATAGAACGACTTAATTCCAAATCAAATTATTATAAAAATGATAAAAAAAATCAAAAGATAATATTAAAATATAAAATAATAAACATGTAATTATTAACATCAAATGCCAAGTAGTTATTTTTTATGTTTCTAATTATAATCGTGAGTTTCCAAATTAGAATCGCGAGTTTTCAAATCAGAAACATAAGTTTCCATCGTGTTTCTAAAATAAAATTTTCAGAAAAACGTGTTTCCAAATAGTTTCTTCGAATTTCCAAAGGATTCCAATTCTAAAACATTTTCAAAACAACGAACCTGGAACAGAGTTTCCATGCAGCCTAGGAAAAATCTAAGTTATTTGGAAACATAAATGTAGAGAAAAGGGAACAAAACACTAAAGCATTAATACTTAAGTTAAATTATAATACCGAGTAAAAAAGTGAAATTTCCACTTTTAAAGTTGTAAAAAAATGAGGATAACCTGAAAAAAAAGCCAGCAACTATCTAAATGTAGTAATTTAATAGAATAAGCTGAATATAACTCATGAGTTAAAGATAATTTCCAAATTTTCTTTAACTCTCATGCAAAATACTAGAAGACTAATTTGTATAAGATTATACATTCAGTCTTTCAGATAATGCTTACTTCCACCCATTTTTCTTCTCGAATATACAAGCATTTGCATATTATTTATCTCTGGACTCTGGTCTCAGTCATAATTGAATTATTTTGCTTTCTCAGCCTCTGTTGCTTACTCATCAAGAAACCCATCGCTCATGTTCTAATCAAGAAACCCTTAATTATAGTACGTCCGCATCAAGAAACTATTCAGATGCTTCTCCATTAAGTTATGCGATTGCATACTATGAACGCGATTATCCGTGTATATAGGAGAGCATCCGTGTATATAGGAGAGCGCAACATGGATCGTCTATTTCTCTGGTTCTCTATGATTCTGCCTAAATTAAACATTTTTAATAACTTTTTTTTTCTAACATTTTTTTTCTTTTCCAAATTAAAAGCTTCCCTCGCAAAATCGTAGTGTACTTGTACAACTCTAGTACAGTTCCGCAGTTCGAATATCCATTTCACATTTATCTATGGTTTATTTTACCCTAAGAACTCCAAACTAATTATTTACGAGACATATGAAGACAGACCTCTTCTGATAAAACGTCTGGCCATCATCAAAGTGCGGTGTATGGGATTCGAATCATGGTTTGTCTATATTATGATTTCCCGATTATTTAAATGTGGTAAAAAAATAAACTTTGTCTGTGTGTGTTTTATCCTCTTTCTTTTTTTAAAAAAAAAACAAAAGAAAGAAAGTGTTTTTATCTTAAATTCTCATTGCTTTTGTACCTAAAGTTAAAAACATCTCTCTGTAATGGCTTCTATAAAAAAATTTTGTTAATTACAAAATCCAGTTTTATGTTCTATTTTCTAAAAATTATTATTGTGATTTTACAACTTACCTTTTTTTAAAACAAATTATATATCTTTGCTTTTGGTATATGTCGTACGTATGCCTGATAAATAAAAGCTGATTCTGAAAATCAGTTAGCGGTAATAAGAGAATGGTACGTACTTCTACTTGCTGTTAAAGAAACAAAGTCGGAGAAAATGAAAGGAAGAGCAAGTAGTCACCAGAAACCACAACATGCAACAAACTTTTTCCAATAACTATGACCTCAATCAAAGAAAATGGTAATAAGAGAATGGTACGTACTTCTACTTGCTGTTAAAGAAACAAAGTCAGAGAAAATGAAAGGAAGAGCAAGTAGTCACCAGAAACCACAACATGCAACAAACTTTTTCCAATAACTATGACCTCAATCAAAGAAAATGAAAAACTTGCGTTTTCACGAAATCAATGAGCAACAAGATTTCACTAGCACGTCTCTCCATCACGCCACTTCTTATCAACTGAGGAAAAAACAGCCAACCACTTGTCACAACCACAAACCCAACCGTGAGCAGCAGTGACACCACAGGACTCACCACCCACCGCCGCGCAAACTCCGTTCTCTTTATGGCCATTTCGGTCGCCGTACAAACTCCGTGTAACACAAAGAACAAAGTGATTTCCCATGTAGGCATCTCACGTGTTAAATAGAAGAAAATAACATCGTGAGCTACACCGGACACTAAGAACGTTGCGAAAACACCTATCAACTTAGCATAATCAGAGCTCATCAAGTATTCACAGACTCGCCTCACGGGATAATAAACTCCTAACCGGAGAACGGAAGAGACCATGAGGTTCCATCTTCGCCCCCAAAAATCTTGAAGAGATGTGGCCAAGTATGGTTCGTTAAACTGTGGCTCTACCTCACACCCAAGAGTGATGGTGACAAAAACTTTGAGAAGGGTTAAGAGAACCTCAAGTTCCAAGTATATATGCAAAGGATGAAGACAAAGATTTAGAAATGGATGGAAAGTTTGTTTGTAATTATACGCATGTAACACCACACCAAAGAGTGCAACTTTAACAGGGAATAACCATTTGGGAAACCGAGTTTGAGATTTAGGGCTTTGTTCAAGCTTGACAGGGAAGCAAGTGTAACATATGAATTTGAAGAGATTTGAAGGAAGTGGGTAAAGAGGACCTTGATCGAAGCAGAAGAGGATTAGCTTTAAGTTGCCAACCCCTGAAAAGAAAAGGGCAGTGGAGCCAGATAAATGGATAGAGGAGAGAAAAAGAGGAAGAACAACGAAGAGAGCACAAATGGGAAGAACAGAGAGTAATCTAGGAAGACCAGCTTTGATTCTTGATGGTAAGTAGTAACAGTAAGATATACAGATTATTGCAACAACCCATACTTTGATCAATGTCTTGAGTTGTTCTTCCATTAGTCAGGTTTTACTTTATTTTTGTGTTTCAGGAATTTTTCAATCACCATGCTAGGTTTTAACTTATTTTGTTGCGTGTATAATAAGCAACCGTATAAATGATTACATTTGAATTAAAAAAAGCATGTGATCGTACAGCTAAAGAGCGACACGATCGATGTGAAGAAGATTCGGAGAACGATTGAACGAACCAGTTTTGGTTCGACTTTCACTCTTCTGAGGCTGCTTCCGATGTGCTTTCCTCTCCTTGCGTAGTTAAAATGCAGTAGTGAGATCTACGACAAAGAGAAAATATTAACAAAATTATAATTTGGTGCTTGAGTTCCACGTTATAACTCATAAGACGATTAAGTAAAACTAAAATAAAAAAGGCCATAAGATTGATTGGTTACATACTTTCATTCAAACTTATCAAATAATCTAGAAACAAAGTTCTGTTAAAAGTTAAATGCTATTTCTTGGTCTTAAAGAGATTTTTCTTCAAAAGAATCTAAGTCTAAAAAGAAAAGGAAAATTATACATAGTTGTTTTACTAGGTTTTTTTTTATTTGAATAAACCAAATCGATGCATGCAGTCTAACGATGATACTATTCTAGTGTTTTGTCAATGAAACATTCAGCCAAAATTAAATGCTTCTAATGTTGTGTCCTTATCTTAGACTGAATGAATCATTTTGCTGTTCAAAAAAAAATCCATCACTCACACAATTTCCTCCAAAAAGGTTATTCTTATTTTTCAATACTCTTTTATACTCATGCAAGTTTGATAACGAAATTTCAAAACAAAAAAGTAATTGATAACGGTAATTCCAACTTTGTGGTCACCATAAACATTATCACTAGAAAAGTAAAACTTGCGTTTTAAGAAATCAAGTCATAAGCATGTCTATCCATTATGTAGTCATTCTTCTTTGTGGTTCACATTTTTGCGAGTAGTCAACAGAGAATGGATTAATTTAAAACATCATCTTCGGAATTAACTATCTCGGTGATGGCCATGGACGAAGTTTCCTAGATGCGGTTCATACTTAGTTGTTGTTACTAGGGTTTCTTTAAACAGAATCGATGCAGTAAGTTTGACTTGTTGTTAAAATCATGTTATATATCTTGTATGATAAAAAAAAACTGAATAAGTAGGGGGTTAACACTTTTTTTTAATAAGTAGGGGGTTAACACTTACGATTTTTGTATATTTTTAACTATTGACAGCAAAAAATATGAACATATATATAAGTTAAACCTGCATTTAAAGCACTCATAATTGTCAGACTTACGATGGTAGTACTATTCTAATGTTTTGTCAACCAAAATTTCACCCAAAAGTAGTTACGTTGTTTGGTTTTATACGGTGGTTGTTAAAGATTAATCTACCATCTGATAGGGACAAAGAGGGTTGAATCGAAGTTTAACAATTGCGGTTAACTTATTGCTCATTGAATCAATTACTTATTCATCCCTTATACAATTTTCCTCCAAAAGGTTTCTTATTTTTTTTCAGTACTCTATATATATATACTCATAACTCTATATATATATACTCAGTAGGATCTACCTTGAACAAGGTGGAGGCAGCTGCCACAACTACAATCTACAATAATATATATTTTGTATAAGAATAATATACTCATAATTTTTTGATAAATAACGGTAATTCCAGGTTTTTGATAACGCTGGATAATATCACCAAGAAAACTAAAACTTGAGCTTGAAGAAGTCAAGAAACAACAAGGATTCATAAACGAATTTTTCAATTACGTTGCTCCGTATAAGCTGAGGGAAAAACAGCCAACCAGAGGTCAGACACACAAACCCAACCGTTACCAACCGCGACACGATTGGTCTCACTGGCAGCCGCCCCACAAAAGTCTTCTTCTTTACCAACACTTCAACAACCGTGCAAACTCCATGTAACACAAAGAACCAAGTGACCTCTCCTGTAGGCATCTCGCGGGTTAAGTAGACGTATAACACCTCATGCACCACACCGGAGGCTATAAAGGTCGCCAAAACTCCCATGATCATAGCCCACTCGGTATTTACAAAGTGTTGGCATAATTGCCTCACCGGGTTATAAACGCTTGACCGGAGGATATCCGTGACCATAAGATTCCACCGGCGACCCCAAAAGTCTTGAAGAGAGGTGGCTAAGTACGGTTCATTGAACTGTGGTTGGAGGTCCAGACCAAGAGTTAATGAGACCATATATTTGAGGGAGTTTAAGATCAGCTCATGCTCTAAGTATAAATTGAGAGGATAGAAACCTAGTATTAGAATTGAAGGGAGATATTGTTTGTAATTATCATACACATTTAACACCACAATAAATATTACAACTTTAACGATGAAAAACCATTTGGGGAAATGACTTAGGGATCTAGGGTTTTGTTGATGTTTGATGGGTAAGCAAGTGAAGGCAATGAAATGAGAGAGATTTGGGGGAAGTGGGAAAAGAGGGCCTTGATCAAAGGAGTAGAGTGTGAGTTTGTAATTTGCAAGTGAGAGAAAAAAAGCTGTGTATAAGCAGAAAGTAGGAGATGAAAGATATAGAGGAAAGACAAAGAACATAACACAAACGGGAAGCACAGAGATTAATCGGAAAATGCCAGCTTTGATTCTAGTTGATAAGAAGTAACAGTAAGCTACTGAGCTTAGTGCTGAAACCCATACTTTGATTAAGTTCTTGAGTTCTTCCTCCATCTCTCAGAATTTTTGTTTCTCCCGTTGTTGCCGAGTTTCTTTTAACCATGCATGGAGCGAGGTTTTAACCTTGTTGTTACTTGGATGATAAGCAACTGGACTCAACTAAGAGCATGTTCAATGGTAGTGCTTATTTAGGAGTGCTTAATCTTTGTTTAATAATTTTTAGTTGTAAAAGTGGTTTAAGAACCAACGCTAAGCACCCGTCAAATTTTGTGCCTCCAATGCAAGTTGCTTATTTTGGGTTTCTTAAAAAAAAAAAAAAAAAAAAAAAATTGAATTTAAGATAATTTTTATTAATTATATAAGAAATAATAAAAGCTTACATTTAAAACATAGAATTTGAAATACAAACATAGAAACAAAGATTAGCGAAAATAGAAAATAACTTTTTAAAAAAGATCCGAGCTCAAGTGTCGTCTTCATCACGTCCAAATCTACGCCACACATGTTCAACCAAGTCAGCTTTTAGTTGTGCATGCATTTGAGTATCACGAATTCTAACTCGAACACCCAACCTATCGGCAATATTTGAAGGGATATCTGTAGAATACGCGAGATCGACATGTGAACTTCCGGTGTCTTCTCCGTGTTGGAACTCTGAAACATCAAACTGAGTGTAGGCATCTCGTTCGTCTTCTACTATCATATTATGGAGTATGATACATGCTCTCATAATCTTCCCAATTTTAACTTTATCCCAA